CTGCTCTACCTCACCAAATAACACAGCCCAGATAACCCTGGATCTACTCTACCTCACCAAATAACACAGCCCAGACAACCCCGGATCTACTCTACCTCACTAAATAACACAGCCTAGACAACCCCGGATCTGCTCTACCTCACCAAATAACACAGTCCAGACAACCTCGGATCTACTCTACCTCACCAAATAACACAGCTCAGACAACTCCGGATCTGCTCTACCTCACCAAATAACACAGCCCAGGTAACCACAGATCTGCTCTACCTCACCAAAAAACATCCCAGACAACCCCAGATCTACTCTACCATCAAATAATGCAGCTCAGACAACCCTGGAACTGCTGTACCTCACCAAATAATACAGCCCAGACAACCACGGATCTGTTCTACCTCATCAAATAACACAGCCCAGAAAGACAACCCTGATCTGCTGTATCTCACCAAATAATACAGCCCAGACAACCCTGATCTGCTGTACCCCACCAAATAACACAGCCCAGATAACCACAGATCTGCTCTACCTCACCAAATACACTGTCTTTTCTAGAATTCTAGTATAGTCATAGCACTGTTATGTTCTTCAGGTTGCTGGTTTGATGTTATGATTCTAACACAATATTCTGTAAAGTGTAAGTCCAGGAACCTGGATTTATTGTGTTAGAGAGCAAGTAACGCAGAAGTAGGACTATTACTATACTGCTGCTTGTCTTAGAGGAATGTGAATTGTCTCAGATAATCTTTTCTGACAGATAATAAAAATAATATGCACTAGGATCAGAATCCACATACTGTGAGACTAGGAGCTAGGTACTTTGAGTTTTTAATAAAGCTATCATACCCAGAACATCAGATGCAATTGGGACTACTTCTTGCGTATGTGCATCTATACTGTAATTCTCTTGATTTTTTTTTTCCTGAGTAAATGAGTAAATTGGGCGGAAATACAATGGTGTAATCACCCTGCCTAATTTAAGTCTGAAGATGACACTGACCTCTGTCATTCCAATCAGGATGTGGCATTTGTTGGCTTCACGAATATCAGTGGGAGACGTTTAGTACCTTAGGACATTTTTTTGTCTTTTCTAGGACCTTGTATTTATATTGTTTTTTTTTTATTGTGAAAATACTGTACAGAGGGGTTACAATTACATGGACAAAATAATGAGTACATTTCTTATCAAACATTGTAGCCTCTTTTGTTTCCCCTTCCCATCCCATCCTCCCCCCCAACCCTCCTCCCCCCACCAAAGTTGTAAAGTTGGTTTTTGACATACAACTTGCATGTCTCATTGTTGCAATGGGTCCACCTGTATCACTATTTAAATGATTTGCTTTTTCCCTTCCCCTTCACAATTTATAACAACATCAAATACAGTGAAAGCAGGGGTTATACCGTGGGGGAGGGACATACAAAGCAACAAAGAAAAAAATTTAAAATGGTTTATGCTACATAATATAATGAAGCAACATGAGAGTTTTGAGACCTGCTAAGAATACATATCCCAAGCAAGCGCTCTACCACTGAGCCACCTTCCCAGCTCGTGCCTTAGTTTTACATCTCTGGAAATGCCTGCACAGATACACCTAGAGTGTGCTTTACTAATCTCCCAGACAAGTATGACTCAAGTTACCAATCAGGATTAATCATCACAGTCCCTCTGGAAAAGGAAAGGCAGAATTGAAATTGTGTATACTTGCTTTGGACTTCGAAGACCCTTCTACAAGAGGGAAAATTTTCTCTTGCACATGATGGGTTTGGGTGTGAAAACTGAACAACTGGTGATGATTTTCCATTGGGCAGATGACAGTATCCCATGTGTATCAGAGTGGCCAGTCATTTGCATCTCCTGTAATTGTAATGTCAGTAGACATTACCTTCAGCCTCTAGGTCAGTGATCAGAGTTGCCAATTAGATCTTGCTTTCCTTATGGTAAGTTCTTTCCTCTTACAGTTTTATGCTATTGCTGTTCTAGGATCTTGTCATATTCATGGATAATATTAAAGCCCTTTTTATCTGTAAAATCAGTGCTAGCTAGCTTTCACTTTGCTCTTTTGAATACTGTTGATGACTGTCTCATGGTCTCATTTTTTTCTGCCTGTGTAAACACTGTCCTGTTGTCTAGAATGTATTCAGCTGGTGAATGCTAGCGTCTTATTTCATATGTCTATTCTAGCATGCTCTTTTTGAAATTGTTCTCACCTTAAAATTGAGAAACAGATCAGGCTCACTTCTTCTGCAGAAAGGTCTGTTATTTATTCCTCATTAACACAGTGTCAGTTTTTATTAAGATTTAAAAGAGCCATTCCCAGCAGTGTGTTAATATAGCTGTGGCTTACCTTGTCAGGGCATTAAATATGGAGTCATTGAAAAGAGTCTCCCACTATGGAAAATGTACAACCCTATACTGGAATCCTTTGCATTCACCCCAGCATGCCACCCTCAGGGTCCGCTCCAAATACACTCTCCCAGGTCACGTCTAAGGCAGCACAGCCAGGTTTTGCAGCTCCTTCGGTATATAATTCTTAGCAAACTCAACATTTCCCTAACTGGGCCTTGTTCATTTAAATGAATTCTCTGATTACTTTCATGTCACAACAGAAAAACTAAGTTTAGCCCTAAATCTGTGGTTTTCTCATCTCAGAGATGACAGCCTCTTTAGATACTTTCAAGAGTAGTTCTGATGTTTAGACCATGAAGCTAGCAATTAACTCTATAGAGCCTGTCCCATCCTTGTTTAACAAATTAGTTGAACTGAGTAAAACGCAATCAATTCCACATCCCCATCACGACCTCGGCTGAGAGAGTATTTCACACCCTGGACAGCTCCTGTCTCTAGGTGCAGTGACCAAAGTGCGGACATTAGTAACTGCCACGCTGCTCCGTTCCAGGACCTGCCCCTCTCTCTCATCACGGGAGCCGGGGGCACAGCGGGCTCTCATTATCTGGGAGCAAGTCACCCAGGTTCTGAGTCTCACTTTAGATTTATGTCTTGGAAACACTTACAGGGGAGTCTATTTTTAGTTGCATTCTCAAAGCAAGCCTTGAGAAAAACTCATTTACAAGTGATTTATGAAAGTTGTGCTTTCTGGAAAAAAACCAATAAGAATTTAGAGGAAGCAGGAAAAGGGGAAGCAATAAAAGGGCACAATTTCTACAAAGTCCACACAGACAAGGCCTGCTTCACAGACAAGGTACTAGCTGTGCGTGGCATCCAGCCTGCATGCAACAGGGGCCTGCACTTGGTGTCATTTTTAACAAGTTTATCTTCAAACTTGTAAATCCTAGGTGATGTCTGATGGGACGGGCTTGTACAGAAGCTCTGTGTGTGTGTGTGTGTGTGTGTGTGTGTGTGACTCATTCGAAGGGAGCAGTGAAAATACCCATGACCACAGTTGGTTGGCAGCTAAATATATGTTTGAGAAACTCAAAGCTAGCGCATAGTCAGCCTGTTAGTACATGGAGTACCAACAGGCTGGCAAGCCAGGCTTTCCCTTCAAAGCAGAACTTGCTTGGAATGCAGGAAGACGCCAGTGGCATTCAAAGAGACACAGGACAAAAGAAATAGCTTGGTCTTTTGTTACTGTTGTTGCTTATTCACTTATAATCATGAGGTTGGGGGAGTAGGGGAGAGGATTACAACAGTCCATAGCTCATTTGCTTTTGGAATTTTCTTAGTATTATGTCACAGGCAGAGTTGGTAGAACATGCATAGATTAAAAATAGTAAAACACTTCATTTGTTTCTGTTCTTGGTATGACTGAAATCCATGTGCATGTTTGTTACAAAGTGCCAGTTATTTTGAAAGGAGTTAATTGTGTTTTATGTGTGTGTGTGTGTAGTTGTCGCACAGTCTATTAGCTGCTGAAGTGTTTTCTTACTCAGTTTTAAAACTTAGAATGACAGTAGATAGCACATGGGAAGTAGGCAAATGTCTTACCATTTACTCACTTCAGTAGTACTCCCTCCTCTTCGGAGGGGAGTAGCATGGCTTTTCATGTCCTCCTGGGCCCCGTGGACAGCGTAACTCCAGTTGACCTCCAGATACTCAGGCCTCACAGGCTGGCCTTAGCCATGGTTCAAAGGAGAGCAGAGCCTGCATTGTCACACGCGTGCACCAGCCGGGCATAGTCCTCGGGCCACGCTAGAAAATGCACACAGGTCTGCTCTGTGCCTAGCTCTGCCTTGCCAAAGCAGCTCCAGGTGTCTGAGGGCTGCCTTTCTATTAGCTTTACAGGGTCTCTTGTTAGAATCTTGTAAGAAAGAGTGGTAGGTGCACACAGTAATAAGAAGTTTCCAAAGGATTGCTTTTTGCAGAATGTGACCACAAACATTTCCTGGTTTCATGTGTTACTACGATTAGCAAAGGGCACAACAGAAAACACAGAACACAGACAAATTGAAATACTTGTAGAAAGAGTTATTAAAATGATACATACATACATGTGTATGTATGGGCAGGAAAGCGAGAAGAGATAGGTTTGCACCCTGGACCTAGTGTCAGAGGAGCCCACCAGAGGCCAGGTGTTGAGAAAGATCGAGCTGGAGTTGGTGAAGGGGTCTCTGGTTGAGGGAAAAGGCCAACACCAGGAATCCTCAAAGGGAAGAATCCAGCAAGAAATACCTTGGGAACTTAAGGAGACTGGTTTCAGAACCCCTTTGTGCCATCAAAATATATATGCTTATCAAATGAAGGGTAACTGCCTTTAATTGCTGTATCCTGCATTGTTTCAGGAAATAACAAGAAAAAAGTCTGCACAGTAAAGAAAGACAGTTTTTATATTGTCCCCAGTTTCCTGTGGAATGCTCTGAAACAGGATTATTACATAGTTTTCAGTAGATATCTAGTGCAAAGATTTTTTTTTCATATTCTTTAACTGCTTTTGGTAATACCTAGGAGATAGGAGCAGTTGTGGTTTGCAGAAACAATGCCAGAACTGCTAAACAGATAATACTTCCAGCAGATATTTTGTAAAGAAAAGAGAAGCAGAACATTTATATACCAGTCTTCCAATTCCTCTGTTTGACAGCAAGTCTAGTTAACCTTGACACCCTTGGGTGCCTCTGTTCTGCTTTGTCTTAACTGTTTTTAATTCTAAACCTGCAGAAACTAATAAATGTGGTAATGAAGTAATAACAAAAAGAATTTCAGAAGGACTCCTGGAAGTTGTAATACTTTGAAAAAATACGTATGATATAGAAAGTGACAAATGGAGAAAATGGAAGTTCACAAATAGATTTTCTGTTCTGACAACTGGCAAATGTAAAAAACATCATGGTTTTGTGCCTCCAAGGGCAGACTCTCAAAGAAAGGAAGAAAGAAGCTTGGTAACTTAGTGTCAGATCTTCAAGTTTGTTGGTTTTACTTTCCATGAATATTGAAAGAACAATGCTTGCCTGTTCTTTTCTCCATCAAACTTTGATAACAGTATCTTCTTGGGGCAAGTAAAATATTTCCTGTACATTAAATACATTTCATGTTAAATGTAATTTCAGAATACACACAATAAACTCAAACTTGATGCAGCTATTTCTATTCTAACCGTTTCTTCTCCTTGTTCTTTTGGAAAAGATTTTAATAAGAGGATATACATTGAAAAAAACTTTATGTCCAAGTCCTTACTCCATCTAATTTTTATCTGTGAGCCTTTACTCAAGGCATTTAGGTTCTCAGAGCAAATGCATTCTTCCTGTTTGTTATGCAAGTTAATAATGAATGGGTTGCAGCTGGGCGTCAGTGACTCTCATCTCTAATCGTAGGCACACAAGTGGGAAAGTTAGAACAACCAAAGAGTTTCCCTGCAGCAAGACCAGATGACCAGGAGTGCGTGCTCACTTGTCCTAGGTGATGAGACTTAAATGTCCTTACTCAGCTCAAAAAAAATGTTGCAAAGGAACCTGATGGCAGATGTCACTTTTCTGGCAAACTTGGGGTCTGTCGACATTTTTTACAAGGGGGCGTAGACTAAGCCTGACTCTGCAAAATACCTACTTCTGGGGGGGGGGTCAAAGGAGCCACCGCCACTCTAAAAGCAGGCTTACGCTGTTCTTTCCTGGAAGCATTCTTTGGTAAAAGTATCACTTGGGCCCTTGTGGCTCCTTTTTCCTTGATGACAACTCAGTTATGGTAAGTAGACATACACCAAGGGAAGAAACATACTCAAGTGGCTGTTAGCCCAGCCCCAAACCCTGCATCAATTTGGTGCAAATTGAATTAAAAAATATATACATGGTCTGAGACTGACTGATTCTTTGGCACTCTTTACTTAGAAAGATTTGGCCATCATTTGAAGAAGATTTTATTTTAGAGTGTTGAGAGACAGGTCAAAATCTCACATGAGTCTTTAGAAAACTTGACCCTCATTAAAATAATCCTGCATAGCATCCTCCTGTCATTTAAAATTGCTTGTGGCAACAATTATAGTCACTTATTCTTACATTTGCTTATATTTACTGTATACTTTTCCATAAAAATTGTATTCAGTTTATTTTCCATCTTACTTTTTCACATCATATTTTACTCTCAAATATAATTATTGTCCAGACAGAAGATAACGTTTCAAATGTGAGATTTTATTTTGTTAACTTCTCCTACATTTTGAGTCAATCATTCTGTCAACATGATCTCTAGCAAGACAGCATGCAAAAGCATGGTCTCATATTAAGAAAGTTTGAGGCAGTTCCTAAGATTCAGTTCTGCCAGTGCCATCCTCCTCTAAGTGACGGATGCTGTGTTAATGCCCAACCCATGATAACCTGCACTTGGTAGAATCCTGCTCCCCTGGCCACTTGGAGAGTGACTAGCATATGTGAGCATTTGCTTTGCTTTTTATTCCTAAACTGGGTTAATCTAGTTTTACTTCTTAGGTACTTCCTATGTGCTATGTTGTGAACTTAAATGTCCATAGAAAATGGCAGTATTCTGTGCAAAATGTTCTCTTTTTCACTTCTTCAAAAAGTGTAGCAGCTGTGAAAAAATAGAAAAATGTGTCCTCAGGAAAAACATTCATACCCATTTCCAGAAGCTTCCTCCTGCTGGATGAATCTTCAGGTCACATGCAAATCTCCTCTCAGGAGCTTCCTGTGCCCTGCAGATGCAGCAGGGCATGTCTTTCTCCCGCGAGTGTGCTAGCTCTTCCTTCTCCTCACCTGCCTCCTCCTTCTCTCCCTCTGAATCATTGACAGGCTGAGGGTAACCGCCAGGCGATCTGTGGCAGCTGCGCAGATGTCTGGAGTCCGTGTTCTCCCTGGGAAGCTCGTGAGTCTGGACAGACGCTTCAGCCGCTGTCAGGCTGTCAGGCCCAGCTGTCCTGTATCCTGTGGCGGTTGGAATGCTGAGCCTGAAGCCCCGTGACTCTGCAGTGCGTGTGGGAACCATGGCGCACCTGCCATCAGCATCTCCTCTTGGTTCAGGATCACCTTTTAATCGCTGTTTCTAGGACTTTACCTCAAACTCACCTTGCCCACCTGCTCCCTTCAGAAAGCTCTGTGGTCATCTGCAGGAACATCATTTTAGCTCCCCAGGGGTGCTGCAGCCCTTCTCCAGTCCTGTGAGCACGCTTGTCTTACAGAGACAGACAGACAGCTGCTGGCTGTGTGTTCACATCCTGGGACAGTCTCGGGGAAGGAGGGTAGGAGTGGATGGAAGTCCGCAGCATCCTTATGCCACGGGGCCATTCCGAGAGATTTCCAGTAAGAGCAGCACCACAGTGATTCACTTCCTCCTTTTCTGTCTTACTTGCCCCCAGCCTTCCCATGCCCTCTGCACTATGAACTCCCTCTCTTGGGCTCTGAAGAAGGGACTGCTGTTGCCTGCTGAGTACGTTCCCTTGCTGCTAGAACAGCACCGCTGGTTTGCACGTGTAAGTTATCACAACCTCAACGGTCAGCCCCACTGCTCTCAACTCTTACTAGGTCATTTACACAGGTGGTATTAATGGGAGAGACAGTGCTGTTGCTCATGTTCTTCCTTCTGCTTGGGGTAGAGATGGGTGAGTGGATAGATAAGTAGGTAGATAGTACATAGACTTTTTAGAGAGTAGGAGACAGAAAGAGAGACTCAGGGAGGAGGGAGGAAAGGGGGGAGAGAGGTAGAAACAAAATTTTGACCGTTAGAAGTCACACATCACTTTCTTCCCCCTGGGTGTATCAGAAAGTTTTCCTTAGAGTGTTTCTTTAAGGCCAATTCTTTTCAAGAGTAAGGAAATCGAACTCGATTTTCTGATGAGAGGAATAGCTGAGCATTTGTGGGCACATTTTGAAATGACCATAGTAGTATACTAATTAAATTCTTGGAAATATTGGGGCAACTCCAAATCTCTTAGAATATTTGCCTCGTAAAGAGAAGGCAAAAGTGATGTAAATCCTTTTCCCTTATCAAGGAGATAATGTGAAGTATCACATAATAAACAGTCTATGCCACTTTGTGACTTACTCTCAATCTCATTTAGCTGGTACACAAGGATATCACCTCCATCCTTGTCTGTTAGAAAAGATGTTCATTTTCAGGGCCGTTTACAATAGGCAAACTGTGACAGCCACCCAGAGGCCCCACAACAGCGGATCAAGGTAAAGAGGTATACCTGCACAATGCCATAAAAGGAACAAACTCCATAGTTGCCGGGAAATGGACAGAATGGGACACATCATGATAAGTGAAGTAAGCCAGGTTCAGAAGGACAGAGGCTGCACATTTCTCTCATATGTGGGTGATAGATTTAGAGGATGATAAGACACACACATAATCCTGCAGAAGGCATATCCATCCTTTTTTTTTTTTTTTGCAGAGGTTTGTGAGACTATAAAAAGAACTTAAATGCCATCTGTTTCAATACAGTTACACGGGATAGGCTGTCATTATAAGAATGAAGACAATTAGAAGTTAGGTACTGGGAGACCATCAACTAGGCTCTGGGGAGAAATGAGAAGTCTGGCTGCAAGAGTACAATTCAGAGCCAACCATGCCTGTCAGGAGAGATGACCATAGATCTAACTTATATTATGAACTGTGGGGCTGAACATTTCCTGAGTGGCTCTCTAGTGTCTTCTCTACTTTCTGTGAACTCTCTCTCTCTCTCTCCCTCTCCCTCTCTCTCTCTCTCTCTCTGGTGCTAAGGATGAGAGACAATGTTGTCAGTGTCCTAGTCACTGGGCTGAGGACTCTCCTTCACCTTCCCATACAAAACTAGCTAGCAATGCCGAGCAAATGATCACCAGAGGCTCAGGCAAATCTACCAGGAGGAGTTTCCTTAGAAAATTGCTTACCAGGTGGGGAATCTATCCTCTTGTTGGGCAAAAAGTGGATGAGGACATGTGGTGTAGGCAGAGAAAGACTGTGGGAGCCCTCAAGTACCTGAGGAAGACCCAAAGCTGGAATGAGGACAGAGGCCCTGCCTAAGATGGCGTGGAGGTCAGGCGTCCGTCTCCAGTGAGCAGCAGGCGGCCAGAGTGTTATCAGTATGATTCAGGAGAGACGACCCAGGGAGACAGCAGGGCAGACAGCACACACATGTTATTAGAAAGGGTGGTGTGTTATCCTTTTCCTTTAACTCTGGAAGGAGATCCATTTTTGGGTCCACTTGAGGTTTGTGTATTGACAGACGGAGATTGTTGGCTATTGGCCTAGACCCAAATAAGTGAGTTGAGCATTATTTAAATTATGATGGTGTCAAGTCATCCAAAGAGTGAACAAGACAAATGCACAAATGCTTTTCCTATCTTTGCCAGTACCATAATGGTTCAAAGCAATTCACATAACCTTTATGTATGTGCATATATCCATTTGTATGTATATAAATGCCACTGAATATAGGTATGTAAACAAACACATGCACACACACACACACACACACATATATAAACACAATTATGTATATTTAAGTGTTAATGTGAGAACTGGGGAATAATAGTCATTTGATAATCTGCCAATCCTGGAACTATTTTCTGTTATTACAATCCGAAGTCCATGGTCTTGTATATTAATCAACCAATACTAGAATTCACAAGGAAAGTAGACTTGTCTACTTTTGTATTTACTAGGACAAACTTTAATTCTACCTTTTGTAAATGTGAAAATTATATGTTCTGAATAATAAGCAGTTACCCAATTAATTTCTTCAGACTTACCGTGCTGCTGTTGATAATTAATAATACTCTCCTTGCATATTATTGAGATTTTTCTCTTTGATTAATATCTGAAATATATGCCCCAAAGCATTCAAAGCATATACATAAATACTTGTAGGTATGTATGACAGGTCAACTGTCATACATGTTTACTTTGTAGATCATGTAGTAAATAATGGTATGTTTTCTCAAGCACTCTTAACTCCCTTCCTTCTGATGTATCTTGTTGAATTCTTGAGACTGAAAACCTAAAATTGAATTTAACACATACTTTACAACATTATTCACATTACTTCATGTCCACCAGGCAGGTTTACTGTTGGGTTTTGAGAGGCAGAAGTAAGTTACAGTATATGCGGCTGAATGGATGGGGAGAACAATTTGTAGAGAAGGTGACCAAAGACATACTATCTTTTTGCAAAGAACTAATTGCAAACATCTGGAAATGTAGATCTTAGTAGAGCAAGAATTCCAATTCTTTGTTGTTGCTATGTGAAGTTATTTCTTTTTTCTTTCTTTTTATCTTCGTTTCCCCCCCCTACAGTTTATCCCTTGTCACTGTATTTGATTTTGGCACCCTGTGTACTGTATATATATATATATATATATATATATATATATATATATATATATATATCTAAATTAGGGAAAGGAAAGGGAACAATAAAATGGCGGGACAAAGGACAAAGGGTGAATCAATGTACCAGCAATACTCACAAAACAATACTTTGGAAATGAACTTTACAACTGCAGGGGGGAGATTCGGGGGAGGGAAAGAAGGAAAAACAAGAGAGGGGGTAACAATGTTCAACAAGAAATGTACTCACTACCTTACATATGAACTGTAAGTCCTCTGTACATCACCTTTACAATAAAATTAAAAAGAAAAGAAAAAGAATCCCAACCGAGCAGCACCAGACCCATCTGAAAGGGAATAGGAAATGGGTAAGGTTCATGGGATCTAGATGCAGGGAGAGTCTCGAAAGTAAAATTTCCCTGTGAAGAATCATACAGCTTGAAAGAACTTAAGGAGAGATCTAAATGAATAGATCTCATAGTCTTTCTCTAATCATTTCCAATATCCCACCAGTCTACTCAAAGAGAAGCCATAGGAGTCAATAACCTATTAATGGAATTGGATGGACAGCATCACGGGCAGAATAGAAAATGACAGAGAATAGATAGATCCCTGTTCAGGTTCCTGACAGCTGACCAAAAACTTGATCCCTGAGGTCTACTGTGGCAGCATGTGGCAGCCACGTAGAGGTTGTAGTAGCGCAATATCAGAGTCCCATCTGGCAGCATTTACCCAGCTGTCTAGCACCTAAATATGTTTCTTTGGCTGAGACAGAATTTCTTAAACTACCCTCATGCTCTTAATATATTACCTTCTGCTTGGAAGGGGTTCTGTAGTTGGAAACAAAGATAGCTATAGCAGATGTGTGGAAATTGTAGATGTGTGAAAAGAAATTCTTAAGGGAATGCACAGGCAAATATATGAGAAAACTGTTTGGTCATTAGCTTTTAAAGACTTCTAAGAATAATGTTCTGTAGGTTGCTTACCTACTATAAATAACTAAAATTTATGCTTATATACTTAGACCAACCAATCTTTTTTTAAATCTATTTATACATAGGCATTCTCTTTGCAGAAAAAAATCCACCCCTTTAAAATTTCAGTTTATGGGCTTCCTAAAGGGTATCTATGAACTTACAGTTAACAATTCTTGTGTAAGTGGATTGAAAAAAACTAGGTAATTAGAGAAGTGATGTTTGAGGTTTCATAAATTGTTATAATGATCCAAGCCAGCATCTAGTCACTGAAATATTGAGCACATATGTCCCTTTGTCTAAAGTACAAGTACTGACAGTTTAGTCATAAACTAAAAAATATAAATCCACCCAAAATAGATTTGAAAAAGGAACCAGGTATCTAGAAAGCTCAGCAATCAGAATGGTGGGATGATTGCAATTTTTTAGTCTGTGAAGAGATCAATTAGAGGATGACAGGATTGCAGCTTTCAAATTAATGGGAAGTCTATAGGCTAAATGGTATTGTACTTTCAAATGATAAAATCCCCAGTGCTATCTGGGCGCTGGTTGCTCATTCCTATAATTCTAGCTTATGCAGGAGGCTGATTTCTGGAGGATTAAGGTTCAAGGCCAGACAAAACAGAAAGCAGAAACATCTTTGAGACTTCATCTCCAAAATAACCAACAAAAAGTTAAGCTGAAGGTGCGGCTCAAATAGCA